TTTGGAGATTTGGGAATTTGGGGAATTGGGAATTTGGGGAATTGGGATTTTGAGGAATTGGAAATTTGGGGAATTGGGAACTTGGAGAATTGGGAACTTGAGGAATTGGGAATTTGGGAAATTGGGAATTTGGGGAATTGGGAACTTGAGAATTGGGAATTTGCGGAATTGGGAACTTGAGAATTGGGAATATAGAAATTTGGAAATTGGAGAGTTTAGACTTGGGAGTCTTGGGAGTCGAGAACTTAGGCTTCTGCAAATTTCGAAATTTGGGAATCTGAGAATATAACATTATAATATTAATGTAAGCATTTTGAGTAATTAATATTTTATAATACAGCGGTTCAACACGAAAGAGCTCCACGGAACACGTCATCTTTGGTCACGGCAACAAGGAGAGGTCCTTCAGGACTATATCCAGGAATCCCACATGTTTACCACGCCACAAGCAACCCTTATCATCCCTTGTTATATCCTGCGTTGTTCCCTTTTAAACCGACAGTCTCAGCCTTCACACCATCAGTCGGTAAGTACAATATTAAAATTTAACTTTACTGTAACATTTTTCCAAATTTTTATTTAATTTTTGTCGAAATTCACTTTTGAAATTGATATTTTTTTATGAATCACTCATAGTTACGATAATATATTTTACAAAATCTCTAAGTTTTGGTCCAACGTTCAAAAATTTAGAAATCCCAAAGTTTCATAGTTAAAAAGTTTAAAAATTATAATTTCGAAGCAGAAAAATTCTAAAATTCTAATATTTCGAAAAAAATTATAATAAAGGTATTCTATCTTGATTACAATATTTCAGCACACTTTCTGCCACGATCGCCAACAGAATCGTTAACAGTGACAACAGCAAAGGAAGACGAAGTTACGAGTTCCGAAGAAGCTGGAACGATCGACACAAGAACTGAACCAAAAGGTAAAGACTCTGGAATAGAAACTTGTCCAATATCTCTACGGTATTACAGATATTGTCTAATGATTTTATATTCATGATTTTATAGAGGAATTAACGAGTAGCCGGTTAGCACCACCGATCATCAACTCTGCGTCCTCAGAATACATGACTAATTTTTCCATCCTACCTACGGAGAATATTTACGAATTTGCAGCAAAATTGCTCTTCTTTGCTGTCAGATGGGCGAGAAGTATTCACTCATTCTTACAAGTAAGTTTTCTTACAAGTAATTTTGCCAGCTCGCTAGTTTTTAGACAAGTTTTTAATTCTCAAATTTTCATATTTACAAATTTGTACACTTTCTTATTTTTCTAATTTTCTGCAATTTTGAAATTGTTGAATTCCTAGATTTCTATACCTTGAAATTTCTAAAAGAGAGCCGAATTACCTCTTTACTTGTGCTCTTCTTTCTAGTTGCCCTACAGAGATCAAACTATCCTCCTGGAGGAATCTTGGAGCGAACTCTTCGTACTGACAGCCGCTCAATGGAACTTCCCAGTCGAAGAGACAACTCTAGTACCTAATGATTTGTTATCAGAAAGAAAAGAAGTGCTAGTCGATGAAGTGAGGAGGCTGCGGGAACTGTTAGGGAAATGTGCGCTACTCAGAGTTGATCATTCCGAGTACGCTTGTTTGAAAGCCATCGTTCTTTTTAAAGGAGGTACGATTATTTAAGAACAAGATGTTAGGTTTCCATATTAGGTATTAGATATGCAGATTAAGAACAGCATAAATAACCAATCAGTCTATCAAAATGACTAATTGCAAATCTTCATTATTATATAAATTCATTTCATTTTTCTAAATAAACTGTTTGATAGTTTCCTTAATAAATATTTAACTTGGATGCTCAATTTCTTATTTTAAACTGTGATATGTATATGTATATCTTTATGCAAAGTAGGGGAAGGTAGCCTAATTTGGACCAATTTTATATTATTCACTATATAAAAGCATGGAAGAAGTGTCAATAAAAATTAAGTAGTAGAAAAGAAACTCACTAAGTGTACCTTTAGTTTTCTGACATTCTTAATTGTTAAACCAAAATAGCAGTCTTCAAGGTGAAGGATATGCTCAGAAATAATTCTTTCTATATCTGTAGAAAATACCGACGGTCTACCAAATGCTTTAACATTATTGCGGAGTTTTTTTTATCAGCATGTCTCTTGATAGTTGCCTTTGGAACTCCATACACACGACTGCATTCATTCAAACCGTAATCACCATTTTTGTACGCGGCAACAGCATACAATAAATCATTTTCAGACCACAATCCATAGCGTCCTCTTTTTGACATTGTAACACTGAAAATATTTTTTTTTATATAGAAAATTATATATATATTTATTTATATAAAATATAATAATGAAAGTTGAATTAATTTAGTAAACGTACAGCGATTTGATACACAAAAACTTCTACGTAATTATTTGCAATTCGCACGACACAATCGACATTTCAACACTACCCTTTGTTCGCACGGAAAAAACCCACGAGCCCTCTTCTCCTCTCCCACTATACTCCCCCAAAAACATCAACGCATCGATGCATTGTCTGCATTTTATAATTTTATATTACGCATCATAACATTACGATACTACACTTATTTATTTTTTCTATAAAAGAAATGTAGTTGTCGAAATTGGACCAGTTCAATTTCGGCAACTGTTTTCGGTCCAACTAGGGCAACTTGAATATTTTATACTTAATATTATACAAAAACGTCAGACTAACATAACCTCATAAAATTGTAACAGGAAATTATAGATAGATAAGTAAGCTTTGTGATGATATAATAAGACCTGTAATTACTTACGTTTGATCGAATTAACGGCTTTCGCTCTTACATCAAAATAACAAAGTTTGTTCGTAGTCAAACAAATAATACTTCTCTCAATGTAACCACGAGACGTTTCTTCAAAAACACGATTGCATTAACCTCGTCTACATCTACGTATAACAAGTTGCCTATCTAAAATCGCACAGATTTTATCAATCTTTGGATACCACAGTGGTCCAAATTAGGCTACCTTCCCCTACATTTTCTTGAAATGTACTTTGATTTTTATCAAGATAAAGTATTAATGGGTACATTAGACATTTGCAAGGTACAAGACATTTCTGTATCACCGAAAGCTTCTATTAAATTGTGACATATTTTCTCGAAATGTACTTTGATTTTTTTCAAGATAAAACGTTAATGGGTACATTAGGTATCATCAAAAATAAATATTTCTAACTTCAATTTAATATTTCTATGTTCTAAAAGAGTTAATGAAACGATATATTCTCTATGTGTACGAATACTTCACAGTAACCAAAATAAAAATATTTTTTAATCAGAAGCAAGAGGACTCTGCGAGCCAGGAAGAGTAACAGCGTTGCAAGAACAAACGGTAGCTGTGTTCTGCGAAAGGGATGCACGAAGGGTTGGAAGACTTTTATTGCTGTTACCCCCGGCTCGCGCACTCTGTCGATCAACCCTGCAAGAACTGTTATTCAAACCAACAGTAGGGGATGTTAGCGTGGAACGGTTACTAGGAGACATGGTTAGCGCTCTCAGACCGACATAACGCGAAATCCTACTCGGTCGATATCGCATTTCCAAATGAGGCAAACTACGACACAGACGAGGTATCTCTGACATCTGACGTATTTTTCTGTCCCCAATTTTTGGGATTCTCTCGAATTTACGGGGCTACAATCTCGAATATGTTGTTCAACGAGAAAGGTATTAGACTTTTCGTTCATTACGTGATTAACAAATATTCCATAGTCAAAAATAACAGTCAATGTTAAAATATCTTTGAAGATTTATATCTAGTTACTTAAGGTCAAATCATTGATTTGTTCAGATTTTTCACTGGGTCAAATAGATTCTTCAGAGTCTGTTGTGAACTAAGACCACGATTTTTAATTGCATTTCAAAATACACACTCTGGAGCGTAGATTTCTTATCTTATATTCTATCATAAAGATAGAATTATTTTTTCATTGTATGTTTTATGTATATTATTCTACAAGTATTCTATAATTATTCTGTTCTATATATAAAGCTAGAGAGACATTGGATGTTGAGAATTAGTTTCTCTCGTTGAACAAATTATGGAGCTCCATTTCAAATTTTTGTGATACTAACAATCTTATCTAAATACTGTCCGTGGTTGAAGAACAAAATAATAACATACTAACTATTACCTGAGAATGTTCAAATCTCAAGGTCGGCATGGCAGCGCCTCGTATACATCGTCTGTGGTTACAGTTTAATCGCCCACAATTCAAATTCGGTTTTCAACGAATAATTCTATATAGTTATCGCGGATCATCCCGCATTCGTTTTATAAAGTTGCATATATCAATTACTTTAGTGTCGGTAAAGAAGATTCCTTGTAAAGGTCGAACCTCGACGCAAATGTCCAAGTATTAACCCGTTCAATATCAGTGTTTTACAAATCCTCAGGAAATACAATTTCTTCTAGTCATATCTTGTTTTTTGTTATTAGATATGGATCTCATTTTTCCACCTCAAATTTCACCTCAAAAAATTGGATCTCAATTTTTCAGGTGGAATTTTTATGGCGGTAATTTTAAATGTACGAACTTTTTAAATCTACAAATTCTCAAGTTCACAAATTCACGAATCCTCAAATTACTTCGTAAAAATAATTTAATTTAAATACGAACCAGATCGCAACTGGTCTCGTTTTATCCGAAGGAACATTAATGTATTAAAATTCATGTTACAAAGGTGAAATTAAAATTACTGATTGTTAATTACTCGTGTACTAATTCCATTAGTGATAATAAAATCGTACATTATAAAAAAAAGGTTCACGTTTATCTCTACCAAGTACCAAGCATATAAAAATCCTTTGTATTGTGGTTTATTGCTTCTGTACTACAATTAATTATAAATAAAACTTCGAACATACCGTTCGTAATGATAATTTTAATTTTGGTAATTAAAATTTAATGATTCATGATTTTATAATTTCATGAATTTATATAATTCTATAACTGAATAAGGTTTAACATAATACCTATACAGTTTCCCAGACATAAATTTTTCTAACCACTTTACAATAATTATTTAATTCAGAATATTTATTAAATGTAACTGGACCAGTTCTTCATTTATTAACAAATAATAGCGATAGTTGTAAAGAGTATTTGGTGTTAAAAATTACAAGAAATAAACGACTATAAAAATGTTGAATTTATACAGGGAAGAAGATTAATTAATTTAATAATTATCTGTCAATACATGAGCGCCGCCATTGTGATCTACCTGTACCTTTCCTTGTTACATGTTCTCTCTGTCGCACAGGTGCAGCACACCTCTTGCAGTTTCATGTTCTCTAGCTACCAGGAGCAATCGCAGTACATCAAACGCTAGATGGCATTGATCGAATTTTCATCCATCCACAAAATAACTGAACGACTTCTAATTTACTATACTTGTAAACTCAACATCTTTTAAATTGCAAAACTTCCAACTTTTTACATTCCCAAGTTTCTACGCTACTTCACATATTTTCTGATTCTCAAATTCCTTAATTTACCAATTTATAAATTTCTAGAGAAATTGCAGAGTTCGTTTACTAATTCGGCCATTTTGTCTGGAACAAATTTTGCAGATATCCCATTTCCATTTTGTTCGATAAACAAAATAATGTATTTTTAAGCAAAAAAAAAAGAAATGAATATTAAACACCACAGGCATATTCACGATTTATTTTAGCAAGACTCTTTCAATTTCTGAAACGTTTATTTCACATCACAACAATAGAATTCGTGTACACAATGCAATGGCGTCTGCGGAGGTCGACCCTCTGTGTTGGATATCAGGGAATTGGCATTATAGAAGAAATAAAGAAAAATAAGTAGAAACAGTAACGCACACAATTTTTTTTTTTATTAACTAGAATAATTTATTTTTTCATGGTAGAAAAAGGAGAATGTATCTTAACTCATGGACTGCATTGTACTCATACAATACATACAATCCTCAATTGAATGTTACACAAAATTCATTATAAATTGATTTCTTAATTATTTCCTTGTCCTCGTGTAGTCTGCTTGTGTGTGAAATATGAATGTTCAATTCGAAAGAGACAACTGTTCTCTTGCTTTCACTGTTCCGAACATATAAAACCTGTTACGATCAAGGGGGAAAAAATAGCTCTGAGTGCGAATTTTCGTTTCTCGGTTTTTGTTCTCCACGAGGTCTTCGTTATACGTGGACCAAGAGAAAGACAGAGAGCAGGGTGGAAGAGTCAAGAGAAAATGAGGGAAAGAGAAACTGAAGAAAGGGTGGATTATATGTGATGATCGTTTTAGGATGTAGAAAAAATGGGAGTGTAAATATCGTTCACTCTCTGTTTCTTTTCCTTTAACCCTTATTCGGATTATGCGGATCTAGAAAATTTTTAACCTCGTGTTGCAATGTTAATTTGCATATACAGGGTGTCTCACAACTAGTGTAGGTCCCTGACGCGATTCTGAATAAGATTTTCCTTTGCAAAAATGGGGTTTGAAGCTTCGTTTTTGAATTATTAAGGAAAAACAATCAGAGCGCGAGGATTGCGCATGCGCAGACGCGAACAGCTTTGAGTCTAATGGCTGAGCGCGCGTAATCCTCGCGCTCTGATTGGTTCGTGTTTTTTACGCGTAGTAATGCAACGCGTAGTAATGCAACGCGTGGTAATTCTAAGTGTAGGAATCTAACGCGTGGTAATCTAACGCGTAGTTAACCAACGCGTAGTAATCTAACGCGTAATAATCCTCGCGCTGTGATTGGCCCGTGTTTTTCCTTAATAATTCAAAAACGAAGCTTCAAAGCCCATTTTTGCAAAGGGAAATCTTATTGAGAATCGCGTCAGAGACCTACACTAGTTGTGAGATACTCTACAAATGTAGAAATAAATATTGAACTTCGAAATTTAGAAATGTAGAGACTTGGAATTAGAAAGTTTGGAAGTCAAGAAATACAGTAACAGGAAATTTAGTGGGACAAAAATACCAAACCTTCAAACTGAGTTACTCGGAAATTCATGAATTTGGTGAACTGAAAATATTGGAATATAAATTTGACGAACTGAAAATTTAGTGAACTAAAAATGTAGAAAGAAAATTGGTAACATCTGGTAATTTGGGAATGGAAGAATTTGACAATACAGATACGTGGAAGTACAGGGACTTGAAATGAGCAATTTAGGGAACACGAAAATTGGAAGAATCGTAAACACAGAAACTCGCTAATATGAAAACTTAAAAATTAAGAAATTTTATTCATTCAAAAGTGTAATAATATAACTGAATTTATCCAAATAAGGGTTAAATATAGACGTATTCTCGGACCATAGGAACCGTTTCAGGAGCAAAAACGTGAAAACCCAAAAATTTTAGTTTCTGTCTTTTCCTCAAGCAATTCTGTAACCGAACGGTCGATTCCGCCAATTTAGAAATAGGCTTTGAAATTACACCGGCTACTCTTCGCTCTTTTTTTCCGTCCCCTTAACTATGACCTTCTCAAAAAAAATAAAAGAAACCATATTAAATTTTCTTTCCTTGCACTCGAGGAACATATTTCTGCGTATTTCCTACTCCTTCTTTTCTCGTCCATTATATTTAACATCTAAACGCGTACAAGTATACCTTTACGAACGAAATTACAAAAAAAAGAAAAAAGAAAGAAAAAAACGAATGAAGAAAAGATCTTGTCTCCTTGTAATCTATTCGCGAAATGTGTGTAAATCGCTCTTTGTGTTCAGCGCACTCGTTTTTTGTTTTTGTTTTTTTCTCTAAATATAATAGTAATATATTCTTATACCGTTCTTCTTAATAGTTTGTTTGTTTTTTTTCTTGTTTAACGCGCTTACATTCAAATAGACTTTTATTTAGAAGTTATACAGTTAATAAAATTTGCGATTAATTAATCGGTCTCGCTGCTGCGTTTATCGTTCGCTTGTTTCCTCCCTTTCTCTCTCTCTCTCTCGTACAAACATTCGCGCACGCAAACATAAATTCTCTCTCTCTCTCGCATTCTCGCTATCTCATTTATAATTATTACTTTACTTTTTTTAGCCTTTATTTATTTAAATTTACGCTTTTCTTTTCTTTTATTTTATTTTGTGAGGAATTGTTCTCGTCGAGCGTGTTGCCGCTCGCTGATGATCGCTCGCGCGCTCGCTTTCGCATCGCTTTCTCGAAACTCTTCGTTCCCCGTTTAATTAGCAACACGTTAAGAATAATAAATGATTAATAATTAATGATAGCGATAATAATAATAATAGTAATATAATCAAAAAGCAATTGAATTTTATCGAGGGACGAAGGGAAGAAAATTTCGGTTTTTCCTCATCCGGAGAAGTGCAAGAACGTAAGCGATTTTTCACGCGTCAAACCGGTGGCTGTTTCTTTTTTTCTTTTCCGCGTTCTCCTCTTCGTTTCGAGTGCAAGAACAAAAGGAACGCTTGATCGCGCGTTCAACTGAAAAGAAAAGAAAAATACAAAAATGGAAAGCGATGCTGGGCTGACGCGTGAGCGTTACAAAATGAAAAGGACGCTCGGTGCGTCGGCGTCTCGCCCGATTTTTCCTGTATCTTTCCAACAGAGTTCGTTAATCGAATCGTTATCATTCTTAACAATAATGTTTCCTTTCGTTTAATTCTTCCTTTTGTGTTTTCTTTCTTTTTTTTCTCTTCGTTATATCTGGCGTTATAATCCGTGAATGGAATTCGTTACGTTCGAACATTTTCTTCATCGTTTGAATACAAAAAGAAAAAGAAAAAGAAAAGAAAAGAGACAAAAAAACAACACAACGGCATTTCTACTATTCCCATTCTATTTTAACGCTAATATGTAGGACAAAAAACTAACAGATTTCGGCATAATAACAAATCGTCGTTCGTCGAGCCACCCGAAACGAGCACCGAGGATCTTTTTTCCTCCTCTCATTTTTGCGACACCTTTTTTTTGCCATTTTCCGGGATTTCATTTTTTAAATCGATCTCGGTACACTTTCGGACGATTCGACGCGACGAAATATAACAGGTTGTCGGCTCTGACGACTATCGTTCCTCGTTTCTCGCCGATCTCCTTCGTTCCATAAAGGACTTAACAAAGAAAGAAAAAGAGCACAACTCGAAGGTTGTTCGTTCGAGTTTTCGACCTCGTTGTTCGCTCGCTGCTATTCTGTTATAATTTTTCGACTTTTACAAATTTTTAACGCGCTGACTGACACATCGATGACGCTCCAATTACATGCCACTTTCAACTATTTCACATTTTTTCGTCCGGAAATTTCGAGCACCTAATACGAATATATTAGCAAGTTCAGTGATTCAGTAATTTATTTGATAATTTTATTTGGTGGTTTTAAAATTTTTAATTATACAAGTAATTTGTAAATACTTAAGTCCCGTAACTTAAATGTTTTTTATCGATTTAAAAATTCTATAAGTTAAGAATTTAGAAGAACACGATTAAATTTAGAAATGTCACAATTTGAAAATGTATAAATTTGAAGATTTAAAGATTTGAAAATTTAAAAATCTGACAATGAATAGTGGCTAATTTGGAAATGAAAAAATTTCGAAATCCGATCGAAAAGCTTAAAAATGAAAAAAAATTTAAATATAATAGAAAACTTGCACTTCCCTGTAATGCTGCATAAACCACCTACAAAAAGATAACAAACAGGTATTTTTTAACGCGCGAATAAAAGTCGGAGTACAAAGTACGTATAAACCAAGGTACTAATATATTCCTAATTAGATAAATATAAAGGATCTTTCACAAGGCTACATTCAAACGTCATTCACGTGGCAATCAACGCATTAATTCTTATAAAAAATTTCGTTTATTTAATCGAGATAACCCGGAGCATCCTTACTAACATTTCATAATCGATGTTGTACGCATCTA